TTGAGTGATAATTGCACACTGTGCAATTACCGCTGTAATTTTTCGATAATTGCACACTTCAAACGGACAGATTATCATACGAAGGAAATATTCAAAGATAACTCGGCGTTTACTCGCAGTTTCTGGTTCTTATGTGTGATTCATTATATAGTTTTTCAGGAGCTGTGAAAGGATCTGACAGTGGTGTAAGTAAATAGTTAGTGTTTCCATAGCCACTGTCACCTAAAATAACACAATTTGGGAATTCACCATTGGAAAATCTGCTCTTGATTGTTATTGAAAATAGTTTGGTCATGGCATGAACATGGCCACCTTGCCACTATGTCAATTATCTTCAATTGCGCATCGCAAATTGTCTGAACATTCCATGAAAAGTATCCTTTCCTATTACGGAACCGCTCAGCGTCTTCTCCTCCAGGAGACTGGATTTTCACATGCGTGCAGTCAATCGCACCAATGACCAGTGAAAATCTGGCAACTCTATAAAAAATTTCTTTCGCTTTTTGTCTGGTGGCAATATTTTCGGGAAATCTTCTATTCCTCGGACGCAACCGAGCAATAGCCTCTGAAACTTGTCTCACAATTGAACAGGCAGATGTTTTGCTTACTCCTTCAAAATCTCCAACTGATATGAACATATTTCCAGTGGCATAAAATCTTAAAATGAGCAATAATTTAGTTGCTGGTGAAATAGCTCGACTCCGTTCTGTCTGAGATTTGAGATCATTCACAATCACATGCAACAGGGTCTCACAGGTTTGCTTTTGCATTCGAAACCGAGTAAAAAACTCCAGATCGGTGTATTCTATAAAGTAATTGGGTCTGAAACCAATACAATTTTTATCAATATTAACCAATAGATATAGTCCTAGTATTCACTTACCGATTTTTTAAAACTTTAGGTCTCCGAGGTGTTACTGTCAACATGTTATCAAACATATCGTCTTCTTCATCAGAATCAAATACAGACATATTTCTTCCCGCCATCGTAGTAAATCAAAATTTCTTAAAATCGCGTGACAAAGTTGTTTACATATGGAGAAACTGTAGGTTATGAAACCAGACCAAGAAATAAGACGCTGTCACTCATTGACCAATAGAACGAAGAAACAACTTTATCTGCAGTATATCCGGTTCATTTCAGTGGTATAAGTTATACCGCCATTTACACCGAGTAGAACGTTATTCGACTATTGTAGAACCCAATTTTACAAAGATATACCAAGAAGAACTTGTTCCTGGTATATACCGCAATTGTAGATTTAGCCCTAAGTGATACTTAGCTAAGATGAAGTTTTACCTGGTAACATTGCTAACGGCCATTTGCACCAGTCTTCCTTAAAACTTATTCTTAGCTAGGGATAACTTAGGATTAAGGTTAACCCTAACTACAGACCTTTGAATATAAAACTAACAGGAAGGAGCATTTCGAACTATCCTTGAGAGAAAGCGCGAGTCGAAAGCGGCCATGTCGAGCCTCCACGTATGACTCATCGTTAGTTTGGTGATTCCGTGTTCACGTGATTCGTCGTTTGCCGTTAATAAAATATGGTCAGTTGTGTATCGTGTGGTTGTTCCCTAACACCAAAACATAAAACTTGTGGTGTAACATTTCACAGGTAAGTGTTTGTAATCCTAATTAAATGTTTAAAAGTGAAAAATTTATTCGAATGACATTTAGGTTAACCCATAGAGAAAGTAAAATAAGAGATGTTTTGGATATTTTACTTGAGCTAGTTCGTTGGAACTTTTGCTCTTTTTTGACTGCCCTTTTCGGGACTTTTAAGTTTTAAATTTAGAAGAGTTTAAGTTT